AATAATACAAATAAAGAAACGTACACGAAAAAAACAATGCATTTCTAAAAGGAGACTGTGTTACCAGTGTAACAGTATATCGATATTGGAATTCGTTATAATATTCTTAATTCGGGAAATCTTGACTAATATGGTATCATGTAACGAATGTGATTGCAGTTTTATAATTCTTGATTTGGGAAATCAAGACTAATACATGTATGCTATTGTGTAACAATGCAGTTATAGTAGCTATCGATATATTTGTCCCTTTTCTACTGACTACATCACATATATCGATCAAATAGTTTGGTGGCAGTACTTATCAAGTCTTTATTTCTTCTTTTGATTTTTGTGTTTGTGCTGTCATACGCCAATATCGTCTACTCACATCTTGTTGCCATTCCAAACAATATAACAATATCATTTTTTTGATCGGGATGCGAAAAAAAATGGTATTGGTATCTTCAGAGATTACTCAACAAGCTAACACAACATAACTGACGATTAATATTAATTACGAAATGTGCATAGAACCGAATATCGTCGTGGAATATTTTTAAGACTAGATGAACGCGAGATTGGGAATATAAGAGACATGACAAACAGATAAAAGGGACCCCTTTAACAACGTTATGGCCACATAACCCCATTTAATTAAGTTTCGCGTAACATACACGTAATTTATGCGACCGTGCAATTTTTATCACGAATAAAATACGACATTAGATGAAAGAGCTAAATTAATAAAATAAACTTTTTTCTTTATGATTTTGCTTTTGCGCACTTTTCCGTATGATTTGATTTTTTATGTACGTGTACTTCATTGGGATTGTTTGTTTTATTTGGTTTTCTGATTCGTTTTTTATGTACGTGTACATTTGCATGCATATCGGTACATTGATATTCTTTTTGATCAATTCATTTTTTTGGCGATTAATTTCTAATGAAAAATTATCACATAGAAACCACCAACATCAATAAATACTCCCTTTGACCCATATCCAAGATTTCATCCATCAATTAAACAAGGATTAATTTATAAATAACGGACATAAATATTTTGGATAATTATTATCTTTTCGTGACTACCTTTTTAATATATTCACTATACATACATATCCTTATTCGAGTTTAACTTTATAATAAGAAATTTAACGAAATGGCTTCAAACGGCACTTTTCGCTCTTCGGCACAGTCGAAATTTCTCTCGATACCCTCTTCTTCTGCACCTTCTTCACCTGAGCTCACACCTTCAGTAATAACACAAACGATTCAGATCATCCTTATCATAAAAATGATGGCGAAACTCTATGCGCAAAAGTAAGATTTTCGAGCAGCGTGATAATTAATGTCCCGATCCCAAAAATCATGGAACTCAAGGAAGAGCAAATCATAAAGGACGGTCCATCCTGTGTTAACGCTCAAATAGAAAAGAGTGCGTTTGGGTTATTTTTACTTGCACTCGAGAACGAAATCGAGAAAGAACCAAGATTTTGTGCGAAATTAAGGGGGACATTCGCAGTGGTTGGAAAAGAATCCTGGATCAATACAAAAGAAGAGTATCGGAATATTTTCGATAGTCTCGTCAATGAATTCGCCTCCCAATAATCGTTGCCCCTTATTTTCCAAGAAGAGAGAGAGACAATACCATAGATTCACTTTTTTCTTCACATCTTTCAAATCCTTGTTTATACTGTATAATTTTCACTTTTTTTTCTTATTCTTTTTCTCTCCCATCATTCCTTTTAACATAATTTTTCCTTTTTTTTTGTTAATTCATTCGGTCCCTCTCACATTCGCATTCGTTAATGACTTCTTACCACCAGTCACAGTCAGAAAAAAGAACCGAATTATCGAGATCGAATTTTCGAGAGAAATCTTCCGGGATAATGTGTGACTGAGCGATCGATCGATGATTGATTCGTTGGATCGTGTCGTGTTAGCGATAGTTTGTGTTCCATTTTTTTAATGAAAATTCTTTTTAAGGATTATTCAAAGTTCAAATATCGTGTCAAGACACTTTTGATTATCGTTGTTTTTTGTGATGAACTCAAAAAACGACAACTTAACCTTTTCCAGTTTTTTAAACACGTGAATCTAGCTAGGCACGTGTTCCTTCTCATTACGTAGTTGATACCATTAGTGCAACCAACCATTTATTCTGTTCTAATAGCATTTCAGTACTATTGTTATATTATATACACTTTGACACTATTCTTATACACTTTAATGTTCTGTTCTAATATAATTCTTCGAAAACGGTCCTATTCAACCGATCAAAATCGTAAAATGTTCTCGATTTTTGCAGTAGTAAATATTTTTCATTTAGCAGTAGTAATTCAAAACCTATATTAATCATTATCTCATTCACCTTCACAACATAAATAATAATCAACACCACCAAAAACATTCATGATTATCATTTCTAAAAATCTAAGTTTTTCTTTCATTTTCTTTTTTCTCATTCTCTTCTGTGCCCTCGTGATTCGTTTCATACTCGACAGCATTCACGTGCTATAACACCAGTCATTTAGTCGAATGCTTGTTTATCACGAATTTGCTTGACATTGATGAAATGTTTGAAAAAAACGATTGAATTATTCAAATGATCCAATAATCCGAAATCAGCATTTTCATAAATAGCATTCTATCTATCTATATATCCCCTTCTCACTTAGTATCACACCTTTATCTAAGCATTTTACACGTGGATTTTGTTGGTGTTAATCTTTGATGCATGTATATACCATCAAACGAATAATAACATGATAACAATTCACATCCACATGCCGACTAGACACTTATAGCAGTTATCTCATTACCATTACTACATTTTTTCAATAATTGTTTTTGTGATTTTTGCATTTTAATTCGTAACATCATCAGCAGCAGTAATATAATATTTCATTTTTTTATTATCGTTAGCATTTTCATCATCATACAAATCATCGTTTGGTATTTCGTATTTTTATTATCATTTTCATCATCATACCAGTCATCGTTTGGTATTTCGTATTTTTTCTTGTACAAAGTTTCGTTTTTAATTTGTAAATTTTTGTCTACACATTTATTTTTATTCGCTTATTCCGCTGTACATTCTATTTTGTTTCTTTTGGTGGCGATTAGATTTTTTCATTTCGAATGATGATAGTCAATGCCAAAGGAACATCAACTATTCTAAAGAGCTCTAATTTCTATAGGTATCTTATTATGATTTAATTCTCTTGTCTGAAAATTTTATATTTTTTTTCTCTTTTATTCTTTTTCATTACTTTTATTTTTTTACGTTTTTTCATATGTAGTAATATTACTTGTTTTAGAGTGGCGCTATTGGAAACGGAAACCTCAGTTCTATTTAGTCTTTACTTCAGAATGATTCCCTTTCTTCTAGAAATTTCATGTGTACTTATCTAGAAACAAAAAACAGCAGCCCTCCCCAAACAACAACATAGAAATACTTCCTTTACTTTTTTTCTTTGGGTATTTATTTTTTATTTGCACATATATACAAGCATACATATTTAATGAGACGGCATATTCGGGGTTCCATCTGTTCTGTTCCCCGTTCCCCGGGACTACCGAGTGTGTTTGACGTCAACATTTAAGTATTCGTGTGTCGGACTATACATGTGTATTTATTTTATATTTATTTTTTTAGAATTCTTCTAATGTGCAGCTCGTTTTTATGCTTGTTTCCTTTGGGAATGGCTTCGAGTTTTTTTTGGATTCTCTTATACAGTACACTTTATCTTATTTTCTTTAATAAAGATTGGTATATATTTCACAAGTGATAGATTTCTCGTTTCATGTAGAGGTTTTTTGTTTAGCCAAAACGCCAATGTGATGTATGAAAAAATCAAATAATAAAATCGGGGTTTACCACGAAATAATAACGATAATGACTTTATTGCTTGTTAATTGATAATATGAATTTGATTACGATAAGACGCGTTTGTTGTATCCACGTTTTCTTGTCATGCTTACAGGCGTACGTAGTTTCTTCAGTTAGTCACATGAAGGTAGTTATCAGATATGATTTTTAGCATAGATCTTGCTAACAATACATGTACCTGTGATATTATACTCTATGGAAGCTTTGATAATTATATTAACTTGGGTTAACGATTATTTGAATTCGTATGTGGTTTTTTTATTCAGTGAGTTTCTATAACTATTAAATGTTTAAATTAATTTAAGTTAATAATACTTTTATCCAAAACGTCTACATTGATTTGGGCTAAATCTATCACTCGGTAAGTTTCTCCGTTTGCACTAATAAATACTTTATATAATGCGTTTATATTAATTTTGGCTAATTATAGTTATCGGATTTGCAAGTGAATCTTCATTTTTATCTATCATTCGGTAAGTTTATCTAGTATCATTTACTTCAGTACGTTTATTTTAATGCGTTTATTTCGAGGTGGTGTTTGTGTGTCTTTTCACAGGGAAACCATGGTAAAAGCATAGACTTGATAAAATAAAAATTAACTAATTGTGCGAAGATTGATTTGGTCTTTTAAATTTGGATATATTCGTTGCAAAGATTATCACGTCGGTCTTCGGAAATCACGTGACCCGACACTTTTTTTGCCGTGGCTAGGTATCTTCTTTAGCAGAGGATGACGTTATTGATAAACTCATCTTAATATGAAGTGCATGTGTATACTTATTTTAAAACTTGCATTCAATTTCTCTCTTCCATAACCCAAATCCAATTTAACTATTAATAACAAAGTATATTGCTTCTTAATACTACACAAATTTTACTTTTGAGTCGTGAAAGAATGAGCACCATTAGTACTTTCACTCCTGTAACTCAGTCTTCATTAGTGACTCCCGCTTCACCAAAAAACATTCCTCCGAATCCTTTTGGTATACATGAAGGCATTCCAGAGGGAACAAGAATTTGAACATATTACAGAATTAAGCTTTTGGCCGCTGAAAAAATTAGACGTCAAACTATTGGTACGCTTTTTTGACTTGTAAGTTATTTGTCAAGTATTTTCACTGTCAAATCAAATCTATTATCGATGATTGATTTTATTTATGCATATTTTCAGAGAGTGCCTTAGGCAAATACTCGACCGTAATTGGAGAAGAGATTCGTATCCCACCTCTTGTTGTCCAGGCGAGTGTTAAAGCCGCTGATCATCCAGTTAACTAGACACAAATTGTTCGTGAATTAAAGGTAAATTAATTGTTCAATTTGCTTAAAATTTACTACATCCAGAAAATTAATTTCAAATTTTTCTATATGTTACAATAAACAGGAAGAAGCCGAGCAACGCTGTCAACTCAAGGATACGTTCCTCGTGTTGGACTAGCTGCTAAAGTAGAAGAAGCTGCCGAACAACTTGAAAATCGAAGATCAGCTTCTTGAGCCAACATCCCAACTGACATTTGCTCAACCAATGCAAGAGATTGTTGATCCTGGAACTCAAATCCCAGCTAATACAAATTTTATGCATGCTCAAAACGCAACGTGGTTTTCAAGATCAACAACATACAAAATTGGATTTAGTAATCCTAATGTGGTATCTGAAGATATTCCTGAAAGTCAAGAATTTGAACATCTCACCAAATCAAAAAAAGTTATACGTAGTTGGGCACGCTCATGGCATCAGTCCAATTACACGTGAAAGTAAAGTTGCTGTGACTCGTAAGTTATTTTTGTTTCTAAAGTTGCTAAATGATGGTATATGATAATATAGCTGTCATCTAATAATAGAAAGCGTTCTCGGAAAGTACGCAACTGCTATTAGTAAAAAAACTCGTATTCTGACTTTAAGTGTCCAAGGCTTAGTAGCTCTGTAAAACATGAAATTGACTTGAAAAAACTCATCCAAATGTTAAGGATACATTATGATTAATTAATTTCATAGTTTGCATGTTTATCATTTTAATATTTTAATATTTTTAATAATGCAGAAGGAAATTCAGCATCGACATGAATTTGAAACTCAGATGTTGGATAGAGTACTTCCTAATGGTCCAGCTGTAAAAGTTGGTGAAGCGGTTGATCGTTTGGTACAAGTATTAAAAATAGATCGAGTTGATCCTGGACAACAATTACAAGAGCCGCAACCACAACAGCCTCAGTCATAATTGTCTCAGTCACAACTATCTCAACAACTACCAGGTGATTTTGTATCATCCAGTGCTCAATGGTGTTCCCAGTCTCTCACAACAAGCTGGTCAACAAGAATTTGTCACACAGCAACCGCGGCAACAAGTCACACCTCCTGCTTCACCAGTACATGATGTTAGTATTAGTGACAGACAAGGAACTAAACAGGTTGATGAAGGTGCTCAAATACACCAGGTCAGGGTAAACAAAGTGCTGCCGAACAAGGTGTTAAACACAAAAATTAGATAGCAGTACGGAAAAGGTTGAACTCCCGCAAACCACTATTCAGGGTAGATCAACTGATAAATTAAGGATAAGTATTTTTTTCTCTAACTGCTTTATTTTATATTGTGAAGTCCAAAGTTGAGAATCAAGTCTCAAATTTATTTATATGCACTTGATTGTTTGTCAAATAAATTTAATCTTTATCGTTATTGGGACAAAAAGTCGTTATAAAAAATCGAATGCAAATCTAATAAATATCATTGAGATAATTTTATTTTTTTTTTCACTCACTTTTATTAACCATCTGTGCATTTACTATCATTGTTAATGTTGCGATTGCCAATGTCAATACCGTTGCGCCTACAATATAATTTATAAGAGCCTTATTTTTGATGCGTTCTGTCTCATGTTTTATCTTATAATTTAACGTTCGTAATTTCTGCATCATTTTTCATGCATAAATCGATACACAAATGAACGATGACGTTCATGTATAAATCATAAAACACTGTCATAATCACTAATAAATTCAAAAGATGGCATTTAAAACTCATGATTCTAGTTATTGATGGTGTTGTCAAGAATACGAGTACTGCGATGAGTGTTCAGTTTACAATACTCATGATTGTGATAATAACTGTTACAATTGTAAACAACGGGTTATTGTTGCATTCCTTCTAATATTTACCGAAAGAACTTATTCTGCAATGGTTGGGGCACCAGATTATTGCAGTTATTGCAATAACCAATCGATTCAAGGAACTTTTTGCAACGGGGTGGGAGTCAAACTGGATTATTTATGATTGGAGGGTCTTTCCAGTTGTTCTAGAGATTCCCGTGGTGATTTGCTCACAAATCGGCCTTTTCAAAATGATGAAGAATAGATAGGATAGAATTACTCTTGTAATAAGAGTTAATTCAGTATAATAAAGTTTTTATTTTATTTTAATACCAATTGATGCGAATATGACAGGGCTTATTGATACGACCTGTCCAAGAAAAACAAAACTAATTTCACAAAGAAAACAAAATCAACTTAACAGGACTTATTGTGCATCCTGTTCAAAAAATAAAATCAAAATAATAATTCAAAAGAATTCAACGGCTTATTTAGAGTGGAGGAGCATCCACTACTTGCAATTACTCACAAGGTTTGAAGCTTGATCATGAAATGAAAGAAAATAATAGTGTACTCACAAATAATATTGTTATTACGAGTAAAAACTTTGTTATTTTATTCAATTTTTAAAGCATGTCTTCTCAGTGACTTGAAGATGCTTCTATATACAATTTCGAATTACTACAGTGCTCGTCAGAAGTAACGGACCCTCCATAACTTTCCATAGATCGTCACTGTACATGTAAAATGCGCCTGGTTAGGATCGACCACATAGTGGCACATGGATAACTGCGTGGATAACTGCGTTGCTATCGCGTGGCTATAAATTTTTGGGAAGTTTACGAACAGTGCTTAGGGACAGTGCAAAATTATGTGATCTTTCCAGACCAGTGCTGGACAGTAGTTAGGGACAGTGCAGAATCATGTGATCTTTCCGGACCAGTACCGATGGGTTACGTCGATCATACTCGGTGTTACTAGTAGACTAGTCATGGCAGAAAAATTTCCAGATTCCGATCTCCGATCCCTATTCCGGTCACACATAATCACGTGATATTATCATGTGGTATATGGATCGAAGTTTAGAGTTAACTGGTAGCAAATAGCAAAAGTAATTCGTTGCAGTTGAAAAAAATAATTTAGTTTTGACCTTTAGTTTCTTTGAGTGATTGTTAAACTCATGAATTTCAAGTAATCATTATGAAACCTGCGTGGTTAATAAAGTTTGAATAAATCGTTTATTAACGATTAAGAATTACCCGTAAAAATATTGATACACGTTTTGCTGTTAGATAAATCGGGATATCACTAACGTGTTGTAATAATGGTGGGAAGAAAGAATGAATTACTTTATAAAAGTGTTTCGTTACAGTTGAAAATAATATAGTTTTTGACCTTTCGAGTAATTATTAGAATTATTATTATATGAAACACTTTGCGTGGTTATAATCATTTGGAAATAAATCATTTATTAAGGATTAAGAAAATACTAAAATACATGCTATATAAACCTATAATTCTAAAATATTGATCAATATTAGTTTATGAGTTTATAGAAATTCTATCCTACTCATTTTTAGTTCTCGTTGCAAATACTTGTCCACATATTCTATTGGTGGAATTAACGATGCTAAAGAAATTGAATTAGTAATTGTCATGTTAAACATAACTAGCAAGAATATGCGAGACTCACCTAATTAGTTATTAATAATCGATTTTGTTCTGCTTGTCGAGTAACATCATGATATAACGCGTCACGCATCTTGTATTAAAAAAGAACAAATTTATGAAATAGTCCCATGAAAAAAATTGATATCAAATCTCTTAAGAAATGTTCGCTCTGAACAATTCTGTTAATGTCAAATACTAGTTCAAAGTTGCTTATAAGTAAAAATGTACCGATACACATTAATGAGCATGAATCCCAATAATGTGTATTTTTGCCTCTTTGATTCTAGACATTCACAACGATAAAACAAAAAATGCTCTTGCTGTAAAAAGATCAAATTAGGTTTTGAATTTACATGGCAACGTGAAAATAGAGCGGTGACATTTTCTATATGCAATTCCTGTTCTGAAAAAGACAGACAAAAAAACCAGCACAAAATCAAGCAGCCAATACTGAAAATATTCAATGATTAGCTTCCAATAATGACATGTCTGAAATTACAAGTAAAGATAGCAAAGATGGATTTCTTTATGATATATGCGATCTTGAAGAGCTTGTAGCTATTAACTCCAGGAATTGTGATGAAAGAGCTGGTCATATTAAATTCTCAGCAATTGTAAAACTTGAAACAGTGTTAAATTATAAATAAATATTATCTGAAATTAATCAAAATGATGATGAAACTATAAAATTCTGTAATATCATAAACATCTCGCTCATACCTTTGCAAGTGGATTAAATTATTATTGGGAACTTCGAGATCTGTACATGAATAAGAAAATGGTCAGTATACAAAATGCACAATAGCTCATCTAGGTTGTGCTCAAAGAATTGATCATTAATATAAATACCCAAATAATCAGCCCATAAAGTGAATAAGTGAAGTACAACCTGCCATTGAACGTTATCTGTGTAATGGTAGTATAGTAATTAAAATCAATTTACATGAACAGCAAATCATAATATTCATACAATATTTAATTATCCATAAACATTCCATATATAAAGAATTCAAACTATCTGTAAATGCTATAACATAAATATAACAGTGCATTAATCAAAACTCACAAAAAATTGAGTTTTATAAATAGCTTTGTGATGAAAAACTAATCAATTCATCATTATATACTTATTAGCAAGTATACTATTAGATATTTAAACTTTCAATAAAGCTATATGTAACTGATGTAGTCAATCAAGTAAAGTCTGCAAAGAATTTTTTGGAACAAAGAGAATTGATGAATGAAGAATATTATTATAATAGTAATATAAAAAACACAAATTCAAAAATAATTGAAAAACATGATAATCCTAAAAATATTCATATAATAGTAAAATTCTCTAGTATTATTTCACTTTTTGTTATTTTACTTTTTATTATTTTACTTTTTTATTATTTCACTTTTTAGTTATTTTACTTTTTATTTTTCACTTTTATATATTGTTACCATTTTTTATGAGTCTTTGGGAGAGCTGGTGAGTGCTTAATAATGTTATAATAAGTTACTTGACCAGGGTAATTATAGTAAAGTTTATTAAGA